ACATATAATTTTCAATCCCTCCCTCTTTCTCTCTCTCTCTCTCTCTCGCTTTCTGTGCAAAAATCTTTTGCCAATTTCCTAAAAAGGCTTCAATGTTGTCGGCAATTTTCGAGGACACATTTCTATACATTGAAATCAAAAAGGGAAAAACACTTTTTCGATCAAATAATCAAAATGATAATGATAAAAGGCCGCTGCTTTTTGTTAGATGAAAAAATTTACAAATATTTCTTGTATATTGTCCTATTTTCTAATAATAAATTGTTATTATTCAACTTTCTGGGGCATTTAAAAACATTCCTTTATAGCATTTATTTTGTATTTAAGATGAAAGATAATATTCGATTGTATAAATTACAAAAATCTTTTTTTAAATTTTGAGTATACTGATTAAACAGTTTGTTAGAAATATTTCAGGATTGCCACAGGTCAGGGAAATCAGGGCATTCAGGAAAAGTAGAATTGGTCGAGGAAAAGTTGGGCATTTTTATTTTACCACGAATAATACAAAACCTTCAGAAATTTTTTCTATTTCTGATCAGAATGAATTTTTTAATATTCTTCAATTTATTTCAAAAGTTTTAATGCAATTGATCTTGATAAATAACAAAGATTCTTCACAAAGATTCAATTATTTTTAGGAATTTAAAAAAAAATTCTTTGCAAAATTCAATTATTTTTATAAATAAAACAAAACATTCGTCACAAGAATACAATTGTTTTCAAAAGTAATAAAAATCCAACGAAGAAATTCAATTATTAAAAAAAATTTTAACGAATATTTCGTCAAGAATTCAATTATCTTTATAAATAGCAAAATTTTTCGCCAAAAATTCAATTATTTGCAGAAAAATTTAAATAAAATTATTTGCAAAATTTCAATTATTTTAAAAAGTTTTTCCGAATTAGAATAATTTTCAATATTCACTATTTTCATAAAATTTATCAAAAAAATCTAATTATTGAAGAAAATTTTTGATAAAATTCTATGAAAACATTTAATTATTTTCATAAGTAATAAAATTTCATTTAGAAATTCAATTATTTTCACGACAGATGTTTAAATATTTTTAATGCAATTTTAAATAAATTTCTCAAGAAGTGCAGTTATTCAATTATCTTGTTAAACAACAAAATTCTCCCCATAAAATCAATTATTTTTAAAGGAATTTTAATAAAATTCTTTTTAATAAAATTATTTGCATAAATATCAAAAATCACAAAGAATTCAATTTTTTTGGAAAGTATTAAAATACTTTTTATAAATTAAATAATTTAAAAATTTTTTTTCAAATTCTCGTCAATAATTAAAGGATCTTTATAAATAAGTAGCAAAATTCTTGTTGAGAATTAAATTATTTTTAAAAATTTTAATAAATTTCTTGTCAAAATTTCAATTATTTAAACAAAATTTAATAAAATTCATTGCATGAATTCCATTATTTTCCTAAATTATTAATTAAATTCTTCGATGAAATTCAATTATTATCAAAATTTTTGACAAAATTTTTTACAAGAATTCAATGTTTTACAAATTTTTTCGCAATAATTCAATTGTTTTCAAAAATATGAAATTTTTACCAGAGATTCAATTATTTTCATAAATAATAAAATTTTTTCATGGAATTTAATTATTTGCAAAACCCAATTTTCATAAAATTTTTCGAAAACAATCAATTATATAAAATGATTTTTATAAAATTATGCATTAGAATTCAATTAGTATTTTAAAAAAATTAATAAACATTTTCGTAAAAATTTAATTATTTTTGAAAATTTTAATAAAATTCGTTCCAAAAATTGAATTTGTTTTTAAAATTTTTTTTATAAAATCCGGATGAATTTTTAGAAATAATTTAATTCTATAAAGGTTTCAAATTTAAATCGTTGAAAATTAAGATTTTAATAAAATTCTACGCAAACATTTAACTATTTTCATAAAAATTCTTTTCCAAAATTTAATTATTTTCATAAATATCAAAATTCATCACAAGAATTCAATTTTTTTGAAAAGTAATAAAATACTTTGCAGAAATTAAAATATTTTTATAATTTTTTTAAAAATTCTCGTCAGTATAATTAAATGATTTTTATAAATAGGCAGCGAAATTCTTCTCAAGAATTAAATAATTGTCAAAAATTTCAATAAACTTCTTGTCAAAATTTTAATTATTTAAACAAAATTGAATGAAATTCATTGCATGAATTCAATTATTTTTGTAAATTATTAATTAAATTCTTATAAGGAATTGAATTATTTTTAACCATTTGTAATAAAATTCTTCAAAAAGGTTTCAATTATTTTGAAAAATTGTCATAAAATTCAATTATTGAATAAATTATTAATTTTTGTATTTAAATAATTGAATTCTCGTAGAATTTTTTAATAAAAATTGATATAAAAATGAATTTTGGTTAAAATTTTACATAATAATTTAATATTAAAAGCATTACAGCATGCTTTTTTAAGAAATAATTGAATTTTGTAAATCTTTCAAATTTAAATATTTGGAAATGTAAATTTTTCGTTCTTTTCAATAATAATTGATTAAAATAAGAATTTTAGTGAAAAATTCCAGAAAATAATAATTGAATTTAAATGATAAAAATAATTTCGAAGAAGTTAGGAGTAACAATATTCTTATAATATAGAATAGTAATTTTATCTCTGGGTTATAATCATTAATTATTATTTAAAAAAATGAGGAAATCGACTCCAACTCGGAGTGACTGACTTTTCTTCATGTTTATAATAATATTCTTATAAATTATTAAATTTCAAAAGATTTGAATTTGAAATTTTTGAAAATCTTAATTTCAATGGAAAACTAATAATTATTAAATAATTATGATAAATAAAACAATTGTTTTTGAATAATTTTGCAATTAGAGAAATTCGCAAATATTCGAACTTTTTTTTGATATTCTAATAATTTTTAAATTGAATCAGAATATTATTTAGTGTCATATTCAACTTTTTCGGGCATTTATTTTATTTCTGTACATTTTTATACCCACCCCAGGTGGAAAAGTTAACGTTAGCTAATACTACTAACGTTAGACTAATGTTAACTAACGTTATAATCTGATATTAGTAATAAAAAAATGTTGTTAGACTAACGTTAGTCTAACGTTAGTTAATGTTAGTCTAACGTTAGTAGCATTATCTAACGTTAACTAACGTTAGAATAACATTAGGCTAACGTTAGTCTAACGACATTTTGTGATCACTAACATTAGATTTTAACGTTAGTTAACATTAGTCTAACGTTAGTCTAACGTTAGTCTAATGTTAGTCTAATATTAGTCTAATGTTAGTCTAACGTTAGTCTAATGTTGGACTAACGTTAGTCTAATGTTAGTCTAATGTTAGACTAACGTTAGTCTAATGTTAGTAACATCAGCTAACGTTAACTTTTCCACCTGGGTATGCAACTTCCTGATGGTCCTTAAATCATTTTTTCTAATTAACATTAAATTAGTCGGATGTTTTCCTATTGGGGATATATTTTGGAATTAATTCTATTCTGAATTCAGTGGACAAAAGTGAAGCAGAAAAGAATGGTGTCTGTTGAAAAATAAACTTATAAGGATTTGGACTAAATTGATGATTAGAGTTTTAGGTTGAACTTGAAGATTAATAATAAATCTTGAGGTGGATGGAAAAAATAAATAAATATGTGACATAGGCCACGCGAGTAGCACGTGGTGTGACGGAGGATTTTACATTGGGGTGGCGACGACGACAAACCGGCTAAAGTAAACGAAGAGTCAACCCGGATCCGACCCTGGGACGCCTGCGCGGCGCTATCACACTAGATATATCCCCTTAAACACTATAGCATCAAACACACTATCACATTATAAGGGACCACCTCTATATATAAGGTTACCGGCGGAGTTTAGCCGACAGGGACTACCTATATTGCGTCGTGGGTGGGTGGAATTCTGGTTAGTGGTAGTGGTGGATGAACCTCAGTGTCCGGCGCGCCTCCGACAAGCGTGCTTCGGTTCTACAAGATCCTTTTCAATCCTTATCATACTATACGATTTTATTATCCTCGCTAATATAAAAAAAAAAAAAAAAAACACAAATGCCAATTCGTGAATGTTTCATATTTGTTTAAATAGTGTCTTCGAGAACCTCCAACCCTGATACCACGATCCATCCCCATTCATCTATCTCGATTTATTTTCTATTTCTAAGAAATAAAAATAACCCTCTTTACATAGGGTTCTTGAGAGTTTTCAATTTATAGGGAATTTATTCTTAAATTATACTAGAGAATAATAAATTCTAGTAAAGGATTAGACAATTCTTGAATTTATAGATTTTGGATTTAATAGAGAACACCAAAAGAGAAAGAGACTTGAGGGTCGTTGGATGGATGCTGAAGACTTTTAAATGGTGCAGCATCAACGTTGGATTCTTACCCGTAGTAAAGCATTAGCAACTCATAGAAAGTGCCCGAGGAAATCAAGAAGACCCTAGGAGGAAAGAAGTTCTCCAAAGAAAAAAATTTGTTAGATTAGTGTTTTTGATCTGGATTAAAGTGCAAAAGTGGACTGTTTTATAAGAATAAGAATAAGAACGGAGTTTTTAAGAACAGAATTTTAGTGGATATTTGCGAATGGCCATTAGGATCATTAGGGAGATATTGTTAAAGAGTGGTGGTGAATTAGTTCGATTAAGAGTGGCGAATGTGCATTGGTAATGGGGGGTTTAGGCGAGGATGCCTTCTCCCCGTCGTTGCCATCACCTCTTGCCATCGCTAACGTTATTGTCACCATACCGAGTGAAAATCGTCTACATCAGGGGTCAATCAGCATCATCGAGATTAAAATTGAGGAGAGGGATAATTATCATCATCATCATCACCATCATTCTAATAAAGAATCGAATAAAAATTGTCAAACTAAAGTTCAAATTACCACGAAGAAGGAGGAAGCCGAGGATTTTGAAGAATCAAAAATCGGCGGTGGTGGTGGTCAAAGGGAGAGGTGACTCGCCGCCGAAATGCACCAGGTGTCGAATCAACCTGGTCTCACTCTCCATGTTGCAAATCGAAAGGATATTTCGATTAAGGGCAATAATAATAATAATAATAATTCTAGGCTTTCCAGTAAAATTATCATTAGGTCAAATCTGGTGTTGATATCCTTAATTATTTGGAGTTTAACACTTCCGGTAACATTAGCGAGGCAAAATCATCATCAAACGTGTCCGGGGTGTCCGCATCAGCAGCACGGTCATAATTTACATAGGAGTGCCAAGGAATCTGGACCAAGTCCGGATGATCTTAGGTTGGAGGCTATTAAACATCAGATACTTATAAAATTGGGTCTTAGACATAGGCCCGATGTTAATAAAACATTGGTTAATGTACCCAAAGAACTGGCGCTCAAGACACTTTACAGGGCTGAAGCCCAACCTCAAAGGCGCGCTGGTAGACGAAATAATAATAATAATAATTATGAGGAAGGAAAAAATGAAGGGTACAGCGAATTTCTTTACAGTGGTGATGAGTATTCCTATAGAAATCTTGATCAGATGGAGGACATTTCAACGGATGGTGCTGCGCCAACCACCACACCCTTCCAGGGTTACGACTATCCTGGCGGGGAGGACGAGGAACCTCAGGAGGAAATGGACGACTTCTACGCCAGGACGTCGGAGATTATCACTTTTGCTGAACCCGGTATGTAAACAATTTCTCCCTAATATTTTCCCTAATTTTTCCTCCTTTAGGGAGTTTAATTAAATCAAACTCCCTAAATTTACCAAAATTTAAAACTCTTCTTTCCAATTTCCCCCCGAAAAAATTGCATTCCACATAGTATGCAAGTAAAGGAAGAAAAATTTATTTTTAATTTTCATTTATGGAAATACTATTTTAAACTCCAATAGTTTTCTCTTAGTTGTCTACTTGTTCTTCAGAACTTTTATTTTCTTAATACGAATTAAACACACGTGGTATGAAAGTGCTAAATATAATAAATAATAAATATAAACTATAAATATCAAATACAAAATTTTTAGAACGTAATAAAGGAATAAACTCATCCAACACTTATGACAAGAAAAATTTATAATTATTCTTGTCACGAAACTTTCTTTATTTAGTACAAGAAGTGTGAAATAGATATCTAAACTTAGAATAACATTTTTACATATAAACAGAATAAAAAAATTTTTCAATATTTTAGCAATGTAAAATATTAAATTTCCCCTATTCTTTCTAAACATTGTACTTTGAAATTAAACATTGAAAAATTGCATAAAAATAAAAAAAGTAACAAGATGCAAAAAATGCCAAACGTAAAAAAACGTTTCTTACAAAACGAAAATACCAAAGTTTTTCAAAAATCAACATTTAATGTACTCATGCTTTTTAAAAATCAAGTACTTAATTCAACAACTTTATAGATATTCAGAAATTTAAAAAAAAAATGTATTTGTAATAAACACAATCGAATTTGATTTTCAATTTTTTAATACAAATAATGTAAAATTAATGAAAGAAAAGAAAAACTAAAGTTAGCATATGCTTAGTGAGAAAGTATAGAAAAAAATATGTTTTTCTTTTCATGACTTCATAATATTAAATTATTTAATAGGATAAAATTTATATACATTGTAATATTTTCAACTCTCTATAATAGTGTAAAGTACCGCCCTTGTATTTACAAATGTAAGCCTAAAGAACAATTTATTTATCAGTTGTATAAAAAAAGTGTTACCTAGAAATTATGTATCACAAAATATTCACTACGAAATTTTTTTCCACTTTTTTAATATACTCTATTCATTGGATTTTAAATTTTACCAAAAAAAAAATGTTGCATGAGACAATTATTACAGTAAATGCTTGAAATTTTAATTTTACAAAAACTAGAATAAATTAAGGAGAAAATTAACCAAGTGGTGATAAATTAACTAAAAATTTCACATAACTGATTCAGTGACAATTTTTAAAAAAATGAAAACGTACAATTCTTTGTTTAATATATTTTCTATCTAATTTTTTAGAAATTTTTGAAACTAATTTCTATGTACATACAGTTTTATGAATTTTTCATCCTTAAGGAAATACAAAAATTGTATTTTTTTTTGGTAATTAAAAATTTTGATATCCAAAATTGAAAATAAAATTCGATTGTATAAGTTACAAAAACCTTTTTTTTTTAAATTTGCAAGAAACGTCTGTAAATTGCATTAAGTAAGGATGCACTTTAGAAAAAAAAAATAATAATAAAAAATCCTGCGATGTATTGAGAAGCTAAACAGACGTTTGCGGGTATACATGGCCACACGTCTCAAGCCACGTGGCCTGTACTCATGGGTGTCACATCGCCGGTCTATAGTTCAGTAACTCTAAGTTTAACAACAAGGGTAATAGAAACCAATGAAGAAATGCAATGTTATTCGCGCGCTCTGCTGCATTTATTACGATTCGCTACGGTAAAATTAATGAGAATGTCATTCTCTCTCTTTCTGTTCTTTTTTTCCCTCTAATCAAATGAAATCCAATTCCCTGGAGCATTGAAAAGAGAGACCACATTCCAATAAATACATATGTATTAGTTTACGACTTCGACCTCCAGTCAAAGTGATCATCGATGCATTTCCAAAAGGAGACTCATCGCTTTCTACTGATAAAAATCAATTGATTTTTTGTTATCTATTCATTAATCGTAATTCTTGACAATTTTCTATGTCCCTTGATGTTCGTAATTAAAAATTTTAATTCGATTGTATAAATTATAAATCATTGATAGTATTTTGAGTAAATAATGTTGATTCTCTATTTGTTTTGATTTGTCCCTTGATGTTCATAATTCAAAAAATTAAATTCGATTGTATAAATTACAAATTCTTTTCAATTGATAGTATTTTTGGTAAATGTTACTCCGCTGAAGGTTTCATATCTGCAGTTGTTAAAACTTTTGTTTCGTATCTGAAAATAAAATTCGATTCTGTAACATAGAAATAAATTTTTTAATCATCGTTAATTAACAGCGTCACCCTAGGAAAGGTTTTTAACTGACTGAATTAAAAAAGTAAATGTAGATAAATTTCCAGAACCCAAGAAAGACGTTTTAAGACTTACCTGCATTCCTTTTTTTTGTACAGACAATATCAAATAGTTGAAATAATGTTCGATTGTGTAAATTACAAAAACCTTTTTTTTGTAGTGATCTTAAATAAAAGATATCTTACCCATTTGAAGATAGTTTGTTGACTAAATTCGAAATCATACCAAGAGATCTTCAGATGAAGAACATTTGAAAAAGGAACCACCTCTAAATTAAGTGCAGATACTATTTAAGTTCGAAAATCAAATTCGATTGCGTAAATTACAAAGCATTTTATTAATTGAAAATAACTAAGGTCTTACCCTGCCGAAGGTCTCTCACTGACTGATGCACAATCTGGTCTTCTTTGGGAGATCTCCTCTTTGAACCATATGGAAACTTTCAAAAGTAATTAAAATTCCCAAATTGTAGTCTTCCTGAAAGAAAAATATATTAATTTGTTTTTTTATTAATAAAGAATACTGCAAATTCAGTTCAATAATTTACAATTCGTGAAAATTAGTACTGTCACCTGCAATACAGCATTGAGAAGAAAGAAAGTGAATTTGAATCGGGACTTTAAACTTTTTGAAAACTGACAGCCAAAAATATCTATAAGAAATTATTTTTTTAGTCCATCACAAAAGTGTTGAATAATTTTTCTTGTTTTTGCTGAAAAGTTTTTTTTTGGAAACACGAGTTTCTAATAAATATTAAGTCTGATTAGTCTGACAGGGGATTGTCGTTGCCTGTGCGGTATTGGCACTGCAATGAAAGAAGAGTTGCAGCAGAAAGAATCGTCACTGAAACTGCAGTGAAATGCTATCCAATGGTAGACAAAGCTGACTTTTTCTTGTTTGCTCTCGCTTCCACTAAGTATATAAACTAATCTTAAACTGACTTCTCAGAATCCCAACAGATTTACAAAAAAACAGATTTTTAATTTTCGTCAAAATTCTTTAAAAAAAATCGCATCTTGCTGATAACGAAATAGAAATCAAAATGTATAGGAATATTTAAAAAAAAATTACCATTATTGATTTTGCTGGAATTAAAAATTTATAGTTTAAAATTTAGGGCTACGGGAAGAATATATATATTAAGGTAATTTCCGTGAGTTTGGCACAAGAAGAGTTTATTGCTCTTTTCACAAACAAAGTGCAACAGAGTGGCGTTTGTTCTTTTTCTTGAGCCAATTCTATAACTATGCATAGGTAAGGAACACGTCATACTTTTCGAAGAACATATCGTCAAGAAAGTATAAAACTAAACGGGACCTGATGTGGTTATCGATCACGTAAAATGTGAACGAATCAGTGGTCAACAGAATATATGTAAAAAAAATCGCGTATTCTTAGAGGAACACCAATCTAACTGATGTGTATAGAAAACATATTCTTTCCTTTGCTATTTGTTAGGGTAACTTAATAAAACTTACTTTTTATTCTCATATATATATAAACTGGGGCTGTTGGTTGACATCATAACCTCAAAATTTTTACATTTAGATTAAATTTATTCTTTGAATGCAATATTATTGGATACACTTTCTTGTATATTAATAAAATAATTGTATTCAAAATTTATATCTATTTATTCATTTTGTCTTCATCGACAAATTACGGCAATAATAATGTCTCTGTCTAGGAATGGTATAATAATATTGTTGCGACACAAATATTAAATACAATTTCCAATATCATTTACTTTTTTAGTTTTTAATCCTCTGCAGTTGAATTATGAGAAAAATCATTAATTACATATATTGTAATATTGAAAAGACCAGAAGGCATTGTGATTGATAAAATAATTTACAACTTCGTTGGCATTTAATCTATAGCTTTAAAACTGTTGTTTTACTTGAATTAATTATGTTGAATAAAATAATTAACTGGAAATAGTGGAATTATTCTTAAAATGTTTTGTATCGTCGGTGTAATTGTAAATTTCGATCTTGAAAATTGAAATACAGTAAGTGACGCTATCGACAAATGGTATAACAACTAATTTTTCTAGCTTTTAAAATGTATTTAATACGCTATTCCTAGATGTCGCTCAATTTCATGTCTACCTCCTGGGTCATGAAGATAACATTGGAAAAAGTGATGAAAAAGTTAAAATAAAATTCGATTGTGTAAATTACAAAGCCATTTTTTTCTGCTGATTTTAGATGATTGTTGGTCTTTGGAAGGTTTCTCACTGACTAAAATTAGAAATGATAACGACTGCAATTTCAAACGTGTATAGAAAAAAGAAAGAATTAAACTACGAGTTGAAAAATTCGCAATTGAAATTTCTTAGACGAAGTCTTTTGACAAAGCGAATGTAAGCAAAGGAAGTATGTTTCATTTGGTACATACTACTAGAAGGAATAGTGATTCACAAACAAAATGCGACTTTACCTAGATTGAAATAAGAATTTCATTTGGGATTAAACTTCGGTGGAATTTCACCAATACTACGCCATTTAGAGACCTAACAAACGTATAACACAATTTTGAGAACACAATTTAATCTAAAGTTGAACAATGTCAATGATAATTTACGCTACATTCAATACATTTCAAGACTCATTTTCGTCAAATCATTCCAACGATATTCCTTTTCCTGCTGATCTATATAA